TTTTTAATGGCCTAGAACTAGAAACGACAGGCAAGCTATGGTGTGTCCACACGGTGAAGTACCAGCCAGGACTGACAGAGATAGTGTGTGGATTGCTCTCAAGGGCATCGCACTGAATGAGTTCACTCAGTCCAGAGAGGTCACAAGCAGTAGGTTTAATCTGCAATGTTCCACAGAGACATACAGAGCAGCTGAGGAAAGATCTTTAGGTCCAGATGCTATGAGACAGGGATGAGGGGACCATGAAGGGGAAGCAGGAGGGAGATTTGGAAGTGGAATGTGGACTCGTGATGGAAGTGATGTTATTCCCAGAATGAAGGTTAGTTTGACATTGAAGACTCAATCTACACAATTCACCTATCAACAGAACCACTCCATCTGTTGACTAGGGAGGATGATGCTAATCTCTTTGATGTCTGCCCAGTGGATTTTCAGTCCAGCAAATGAAACTTTGTGAGGTGCAGCTGTCAAAGCTGATGTGGAGACTTGTGGATGTAAAGACTGTAGCAGAAAGAAGGCAGACTCAAAACCCACATTCTCAAGTTCCAGCTCATCTTACCTTTAAAACATTACAGGACCTGCTGGGCGGTGGTGGCACATGCCCTTAATCCCAGCACTCAAGAGGCAGAGGCAGGCGGATCTCTGTGAGTTTGAGGCCAGCCTGGTCTACAGAGTGAGTTCCAGAATAGGTTCCAAAGGTACACAGAAAAACCCTGCCTCAAATAACCAAAAAACCAAAACAAACCATAAAAATTACATGCAAGGTGTTAGAATAAACACACAGCTGATAATAAAAGAAAAATTCCCTATTTACAGAGTTGAACAATATTGACACCCTCTGGCCAGGCCGACCAAGGCTAAGGAAATAACGGTGACATCATTAATTATCATTCTGGCACTAGCATGGCCTAACATGTAACTGAGTAAGAGACTATTATGCTCAACCTTATGAGACTAATCTGACAAACTACACAAGATGCACAGAGTCCTTAGAAGAACCGTGTTGATGCAGGGAGGAGAGCAGCGTCCCCATGGCCCTGTGTATGTTAGAGTACAGCCAGGCATCATGACTCCTGCCTGTAATGTCAGCACTTGGGAGGCTGAAGCAGGAGCATCACAGTGAGTTCAAGGCCAGCTGGAGCTATATGGTGAGACTCTTACACTGAGAATCTTCACACTAATTAAGTTCTGTAGTAAAGTCAACTGAGGAAGAGATTATACTAAGATTCTCATAGTTGAAAGTCAATGTCTAAGTTGAAAAGACTTGATTTGCTTTTTAATGGGGCCAGAACAACCCCAATAGAAAGCCCGACAAGGACATTAGTAGAATCAATAAACTTCAGGACAATTTTCACTGCAGGCGTGGACAGAAAATATTCCATAAAATTGAGCACAGCTGAAGTCATAGTATGTAGAATGCAGAACACATTGTAGGGGGCTGGAGAGCTGGCTCAGTGGCTAAGAGCCTGTACTGCTACTGAGGACCTGAGTTCAATTCCTAGCTCCCATGTTTGGCAGCATACAACCAGCTCCAAGGGATTTCACACTCTCTCCTGGACTCTGAGGACCCACATACATGCACATTCCTCCACAGAGATACACACACACTATTCAAAACAAAATAATTCTTTCTTTAAAAAAAAAACACATTGTAGGTAGATGTGTTTCATACCTGCAATGCAAGGTTAATTTGACACTAAAAATACCAAACTACCCATGTCACCGATAGCAGACAAAACACAGTACCTGTGGGACCTCTCCACTGGTGGGCTTTTCAGCTGTGATTACTATTTATACACAGAGCCAATTTATATTATGTTTTAAAAGTGCAGTTGCAGAACACAATACAACTCTGATCGACCGCGTTAGTGTGAGCCATAGCTTTTGGCTCCTTTAGTTCTGTAGTCCCAATCTCCTTGCCTGACTCCTGAGTGAGGTCAGGTGCTGCCCGGGTTACCCCTGGGTCTGGTAATGTCCCCAGTCACCCAGCTGGGGGTTCTTTTGTTTTGTATGGATAGAAATCGTGGGTGGCAAGGAGTTTTTCTGGAGCTGGTCCTTGAGCAACTTTTGCATTTCTCAGATGCAGTGAGTGGCTGCAACAGATAGCGGGGGACCAGGAGCAAGGGGCACCATCCAGTGTTACAGCGCTCATGCTGGTCTCCGCTCCTGGGACCGTTAGTGACGTGGGACAGCTCCGTGTAGGTCCAGAAAGGCTGGATCCCCCATCTTTTGACAGTGGTGAGTGTTTCAGGTCCAGAGCTGGGTGCCCGTGATCCTTGCCCTTTGAAGCCTGCGCATTCTCAGAACTCTTCTCGCACCCAGCGTCTTCAGCTTCTCATCTCTGGCTGCAACTTTCTGCCTTCAGCCTAAGCGCTCTACTGTCCCATCTCTTTCCTTTTTCCGCCCTGGCCATCTACCAGAACCTTCTTCCTGCCTCTTGTTTGTATGACCGCCGTCACAGTTTCCACCTGAGGTGGCAGCAGCCTTGTTCTCTTTGCTTTGGCTCTGGCTGTCATCATCAGTGTCGTGAGTGTGGCTGTTGTCTCAAGCTCCTGCTGTTTCTGCCTTCCCACTACTGCTGTGGCTCTTCAGCCATTGTCTGTCAGCTGTCAAAGTTGCCGGCTCCTCCGTTCTTCAGCAGCTCACCTCATCTACTAGTGAGGGGTAATGAAGGTAGCCGGGAAGGCACCACCTAAGTAGTCTTCTGTTCGTTTATCTGTGTGTGCATGTCGGTATCTCTGTATGTGTCTGAGTGTGTGTGTTTGTGTGTGTCAATGTGTGTGACTGTGAGTGTGTGTGTCTGGGTATATGTGTATGTCTGTGCATGTGTGTTTGTGTGTGTCTGTGTGTGCCTGTGAGTGAGTGTGTGTGTGTGTGAGTGTGTGTATGTGTATGTGTGTCTGGGTATGTGTGTATGTCTGTGTATGTGTGTTTGTGTATGTGTGTTTGTGTCTGTGTGTGTGCCTGTGAATGTGTGTGTATCTGAGTGTGTGTGTGTCTGGGTATGTGTATATGTCTGTGCATGTGTGTTTGTGTGTGTGTTTGTGTCTGTGTGTGTGCCTGTGAATGTGTGTGTGTGTGGGAGTGTGTGTGTGTGTCTGGTTGTGTGTATATGTCTGTGCGTGTGTGTTTGTGTGTGTGTGTGTGTTTGTGTCTGTGTGTGTGCCTGTGAATGTGTGTGTGTGTCTGAGTGTGTGTGTGTGTCTGGTTATGTGTATATGTCTGTGCATGTGTGTTTGTGTGTGTGTATGTGTTTATGTGTGTGCCTGTGAGTGTGTGTGTGTCTGAGTGTGTGTGTCTGGGTATGTGTATATGTCTGTGCATATGTGTGTGTTTGTGTATGTCTGTGTGTGTGCATGTGTGTGTGTGTGGTTGTATGTGGGTCAGAGGACAGCCTTGGTGTCATTCCTTAGGTGCCCTCCATCTTTTGTTTGATACAAACCCTCTCACTGCCTGGGACTTTGCTAAGTAGACTAACTTAGCTGATCACTGATCCAGGGTTCTACCTGCCCCTGCTTCTCACTTTACCACTGTCAGGGTTATGGGGACTACAGTCACCTCCCACAATGCCTTGCTCTTACTTGGGTTCTGAGAACTCACCTCAAGTCTTCAGGCTTTACTCAACAAGACATCTCCCCCATCTCTCTTCTTGCCTTTCTCATTTTTTAGTCCATTATATTTATCACGTACAGGTGTGTGCCTGCACATGGCACACCTGTGGCGGTCAGAGGACTTGCCGCAGTTAGCGCTTACTCCCATCTGCTTCCCATGGATCAACCGCTGGTTGCCATGTGTGATGCCAAATGCCCTTATCCACTGAGCCATCCTGTCAACCCCCCCCCCAGGAAGTGTTTTACTGGACTCAATGTTGAAGCATAAGACAATAAGCACAGCAAGAGAACCTCTTAGCTCACAAAGGGAGCTCAACGGTCAACCAAGATATCTAGAAAAGGGGTGCTTGTACCCATCTTAACAAATAGTCATGCACGTGGGTGGTTGTATTTGTCCTAGGCAGGGCACTGTCCCTCTGAACCGGCCAAAACTCTCCCCATCTTATGCTGCCATGGAAAGCAGCTCTTCTCCTGGCTGGGGCGGGGGGGGGGAGCATGGTTGGAGTTAAGTCTGGCATCAACTGTTTCCAAACAGGCATGGCTGTGGCCTCCTCACCTTAGGGGCCAGAGTTGTGCTTGAGCAACAAGCAGCTGCAATCGTTGAGTGATTTTCACAAGCCATCTGTGGCTGGCATAAGGGAAGTCTGGCTGGCTGCTTGATTGACAGTCCTTCGCTCAAGGCATGCAGGACACCAGGGAAGAGTCTAACAGCTAGCTGTCAATTAGGGATTCAAATCACCGCCCCCTAATGTCTTCACAGGAAAACTAACATCAGAAGGAATGCTTATATTAGTAATTTACTGTTCACAGTCATCGTGACTCAAACAATATGTAGCAGTTATTCACACCTGTCAAGCAGTCCCCAGTCTCTCAGTATCTCAGATGCCATCCCTGATACAGCTTAGAAGACCTGAGCCTGGAGTTGGCTAAGCCGCAGAGTGCCCAGGGAGTTGTGTTGATCCATGCAAAAGACAGATCTCTGGTGGTCTATGGCAGGGGACACTCGGGTCCACCCCAGTCAGTGTGGGGTCCTCAGAACTGGTAAAACTCTGAGGTTCCTACCTATACTGTTTTTTTTTCTTCTTGGGCCAGGAGCAGCCCATGAAGACCACCATCCAAGACAGGAATCTAGACCCACCAGGAATCTACGTCATCAGTCCCTCATCACTCTGAATCTACTTTCTGCTCTGGAAGCTGCAATTCTGGTTCCTTTGTAGACTTTAAACAATGCAGTTAGTGGGGATAAAGCTGTCTATATGTTTCTAGTGTTCCTGCCTTCACTATGTGTGCAAGGGAGAGCATTAAGACATTATCCATCAGTCTGTGACCTACTGGGTCTTAACCCAAGCCTCCATCACACTGACGCTACTGAGAATGAATACAAAGGCATCTTGGTTCCCTCAGATGACCTTGAGTGTTTTGGCTCATGAGTATCAGGCAGCTATGGAAGACTTTCAGGGATCCAGAACATATGTGCTCTCAAGTTCTGGCAGGAGGCAGGGCGCCTGTCTGTCAGTAGGAGAAAGTCACAGAAGGGAAGCCAGAGACTTCCACTCAGAGGCTGGAACCCGCCTCTTATTCCTTGCCTGACAGGCACTGGCTCTGTGCCTTCCTACCTGGATGATGACCCCATGTGGAGAGCAAGTCCTGGGCCTAGGGGCATAAAGACCTTTGGAAGGGCATTGCATCCCCTGCTGGTTGCTGGCTCAGTCTGAGGTCCCAGGATAGGCAGCCAAGCTAGGAGCCTCCATGGTCCAAGTTAAGCGAACATGGCTATTCTGTGGGAGAGCAGGAGAGCTTCAGGGCAGAGGGCACACAGTGAATGCCACCGAAAACTAGCTTAGTGACTGAAGTTCTTACTAATTTGTGCTGAAGGCACAGACAATAGGAACGTCTGAGGCAGGGGAATTGCGTGATTAAAGGCTCAGGACCAGGTAATAGCAATCAGAGGGAGCCCTTCTGGGTGCCATGGTGACTCTGGCCTGGTCCCCTCTCTCAGAGTTTCTACCAGTTCCGCTAATCTGCAAGGCCAAGCAGAAACCCCTGAGAATGCTGTAGGGCTGACCGCTAGCCTCATGAGACAGTGCGGTTCAGCGACCCGTGACTGTGAGCTCTGAACGAGATAATCAAGAATTAGGGTGACCTAAATCCACTAACAGGATTGAGTTACAGGCAGTCAGAGAGGCTTTGGGGCTGAGGAGAGACTAGGTAAAGACAGGCAGAACTTTGGTAAGGACACCATGGGTAGAGAGCCTTGGGGGCAGTATGGCTCTGGTCTAGCTTCACATCCTCCAGCCTCCAGAACGGAGGGGAACGGAAGTGAGGTGCTGAAGGCCAGGTTGGAGGGCTTTGTAACAGAAGCCCCAGGCAGCTCCTGCCAGTGCTCTGAGGAAGAGAAGGCCAGGAAGGAGAGGGTATGGACAGCACATCTAGAAGGACACCTCAGTAACCTGACTGAACCCTGAGTCAAAAGGTTGGACCTACAGGAGACCCAGGGGCAAAGTTCCCAACAGAACAGCAGGTGCCGGGCTCATGGGGCTGACTTGGTGCACACAGGGTGGAACAGGTCTGAAATCCTGCTCTTTCTCGCGTTCTGACACCCCCCTCCCCGCCCCAGTAACTGCCGGGTGGCCCTTGCAGTTCTCCAGATTCAGACAACAGATCAACGGTGATTATGAGGAGGGTTGGGAAGAAGCATATGACTCTTGGAATTCTGCCCACACGAACCTCGGACAGTGTGGAGGCTTGTCACTTCCCCCGAGTTCCTAATTATCCCTCAGCTTCTTTGGACTCCAAACAGTGGCTGACACTTTGGAATGGCCTGTGGCCTGTTGATCTCTTGAAGTCTTAACAAGCCGTTATACAAAACACCGACATTCTCCTTGCCAGCTGGCTGTGGGCATAACTCAGAAGGACCTGGTCCTTTGTGCCAAGTTCCCCAAGGACCCTGCATGTGGGTGTATAAAGGGAAGTCAAGTGAGGGCCGGTACAGCCTTTCAGCTCCAGCAATCTGTTCATTGGCTATGAACACAGACCCCGGAGATGAAGGCTCTGCTCCTGACCACAGGCTTCTTCCTGCTTGCTGCCCTGAGGGCCCAGAACTCCTCATCCCTTGCTTTGAATAACAGGCAAGTGAGTCAGGGCTGGGGGACAGGGTGGCATCTCAGACTTTACTGCAGGACACCAAGGGTTCTGGATTCAGGGAGGATCCCAGTCTGACCCCTTATTGCAGGTTGTAACCAAAGAGAGTAGATCAATTTGGAGCTAAGGGATCCCCGATGCATGTTCAGGCATTCCTGGGTGCAGGGCTGGAGACTGAGAAAATGTACTAGAAGGCGGCCCTGGTACCCTAGAAGTAAGCAGGTCTCCATCATATGAGTGCTCGGTGTTTTGGTGGGGGAACGAAATAGCCAGACGTGAGTGGTAGTTGGAGGGCAGGTGTTCCACAGGGAGGGTGGGCAGGCACCAGGCAAAGAGGACATCCATCTTTTAGTTTTCTGGGAAGTGGTACATGAAGGCCTTGGTGATGAAAGACAACATTCCAATAAAGAAGGTCTAGCCCATATTTGTGTTGGTGCTGGACAACGGTGACTTGGAGTTTTCTTTCGCACATACGTGAGTGTCTGTGGCTCCCGCGTTGTGTTGGTCTCTTACCTGGCCCATCACTTCTCAATGGGTAGTTTTTTTTTTTTTTAAATCCTTCTGACTTGGAAAGAAGAGTCCAGAGGCGGGATGTGGAGGGTGGACCCCAATCAGCATGAGGGTCAGTTGCTTTGTAGACCAGGCTGGTCTCAAAATCACTGAGATCCATCTGCCTCTGCCTCCCAGGTGCTGAGAGGTCGGGTTTAAGAGGGCCACTGCAAAAATAGTTTCTGATTTCAGGATGCATGGCCAGTGTCTTGAATTGGCCACCATCTTGGAGCAAACAGATGTGCCCAGCCATTACTCAGCCTGTGAGTACCCTGAACCCCGGGATGGATGACTGGCAGCTCATGGGAGGGAGCACTTCCTGGCAAGTCCCACCCCCAGGAGGCATCACAGGCCAGGGTATGAGATGACTGGAACTTCTATAACTGGAGTCTGGCGTGGCCATCAGAAAAGGAACCCAGGTGATGGTTTGCAGGGTGGAGCTCACCTTTCTCTTTCTGGGGCCTCCACAGTTGAGGGGAAGAGCCAACTGGAGGTGCAGCTGTCTTCTGTGAAGGACCATTGGCTGATCTACTGTGATGGGGAGATGGAGGGCATGCACTTCACAACCACTCAGCTCATAGGAAAGCTTCACCTACCCATGCCTAACGCACCCGTGCCTAGCCCCGCTGTTCCTCTTCTTCAGAGCAGTAGATTCCCGGGGAGCAGGCCCCACAAAGGAAAGGAGCAGCAGGCAAGAGCAGGGCACAAGGCTACTGGGCGGCTGAACCTACCTACCTTGCTGAGTTCCGCTGTAGTGACTGATAGGCCCAGCAGGGACCATCCAGGACAGAGGTCTCTTGACTACAGATGCTGTTAAAGCTGCTTTGTGGAGCCTCGGGGTGTCAGGCATGGTTTATGTGAGGTCAGGGTGTCCTGACTGGCGCCTTCTCAGCTCAGTGCCTCTGGGACATGGGGACTTTTTAGGTCAGGTGCAAGATGTTACAGGCCCCCACTGGAAGGCTTTTGGTTTCCTGGGTCATCTGGTGGCTCAGATGCCCCCCAAGTTCAGTATCAACACTCCCTACCTCCTTTTCTGCCCTCGGCTATTCCGTGATGAAGCCTGAGATGCAGGGCAGAGCTCCTGTCTGTGGCACTGGCTCCTTCCTAACCTGTGTGGACACCTCCCTCTGCTCACCCATCCCTCTTCCACAGCGAGGGACCCCAAGGAAAACCTGGAGGCCTTGGAAGAATTTAAGGCGTTCACACAGAAAAAGGGGCTTGTACCAGAGAACCTGGCCATACTTGAGCAGATGGGTAAGAACACACATAACCCATGTTCCCTTCTCTGTCCGCTATGCCACCTGTAACCCTGTCACCCTCATGTCCCCTGAGCCCAGGTGGACACTGCAGGCCCTGCTGCAGGTCTTGGTCATGGGAGGAGTCGTAGATATGATGGGCTCTTGTCCAGACCTCATTCTCATCTCTGGCTTTTTTGCTTTCTACAGACAAATGTGAACCCAAGAGTGACTAGGGTAAGTGAGCCTTGAAGCCAACAAGAGCCTTGGAATTCAACAGGAAGCTCTCGGCTGCAGCCGGGAATTGCCCAGTTTCTGCGTCCCACACCCTGGGTTTCTTTAGCTTCGTTCCTGGGTCGTTTAAGGTTTCCTACTTGTCATCTCATCAGTGGTCTTGTGCTGGTGGTGTGACCTGCAGCAGTCAGGTGAAACTGCCCAGTTGCCACCCAGCCAGGAAGTGCCTGTCCTTCTTAGCCTTGCCCTGGTCCTTCTGGGGATTTCCTACCTGCCAGTGTACACACTCACACACACACACACACACACACACACACACACGTTCATGAGCCGACTCTGGGTGACATGAGGACACTTTGATAATGGAGCAGAAAGTCCTAGGCACACCAGGTACAGGTGGAATCATGATGTCTGTATCCTTTATGGCCCCCGCTTGTCGGCCACACCCTTGCCTGGTGACCACTGCATAGACAGCTTCCCTGAGGGAAGTCAGAAGAAAGGAATTCCTTGTCCATCACAGGCTAGCCCTGCATCTCTGAGAGCCTGTGGTGCTGCTCCAAAGCACCCATCGTCCCTCCCCCACCATAACCCTGCACTGACTGACTCTACTCTCCTTGCTACAGAGACTCACACTCTGTCTCCTTTCTAGATCATGGTGAACCAAGCTCCAAAGCCGCCCAAGACAGTACCGCCAGAACCTCTGTCCTGCGTGATGTGGAAAGTGTACCCTGCTGGGCCATCTGACTTCTCCTCTCTCTTCCCTATTCTCTCCTCCTCCTCCTCCTCCTCCTCCTCCTCCTCCTCCTCCTCCTCCTCCTCCTCCTCCTCCTCCTCCTCCTCCTCCTCCTCCTCCTCCTCCTCCTCCTCCTCCTCTGCTCATCAATAAAAAGCTTCAGTAGTCCCTGGTGACTCTGGGTATGTGGCCCCTGGATGAATGTATTTATTCTCCCTTGGTGGTCTGTTGATGGCTGAGAACTAACTGTAGGAGAGAAGGAATCCCCTAGCCTTGTTTGGTGTAGGCTTCGAAGCTTAAGAGCGTTCCGGCCCCCCTGGGACCCTTCTGTAGGTGTATCACCCCAAAGCCCAGGTTTTGGGCAATGAGTGTGATGAACAAGAGGCCCAAGACAATGACAGGGTAAGGCTCCAAGGCAAAGGTGAGGACCAAAAGAGTCTGTGTGCAGATGGGGACCACTTGGGAACTGAGGTAGGGATGTAACCAGGGCACAGGCCTGGGGCTAGGTTCCCAGGCACAGCAGGACAGACTGTAGGACATTGAGAATTTGTTTCCACGGGTAGGGGACAGTGTTGTGGTCTCTCCCTGCAGGCTGAACAAATATAGGAGCTGTTGTGGGAAAAGACCCAGCTCCAGGAGCAGCCTTGCTAGAACATTCTGATGCCACCAATGCTATTTCTTCGATCATTCTGAGACTATGCTCTGAGCATCATGAGAGGCCAGCTAAGACCCAATTCTCTCTCTCTCTCCTCTCTCTCTCTCTCTCTCTCTCTCTCTCTCTCTCTCTCTCTCCTCCCGTGAGGATATGTGAACTCACTAATTTTTTTTGTAATCTATGTACCCTCCTGCTCAAACATCCCTAGTCCCCAGTACATTGTCACTGATGGGAATGACCAGCATCCCAAGACCTCTACACAACACAGCAGGCCTCTAATACAAACCACTGGGGTTCATACAGTCATGTGGCTTCCATGAGGAGGACGTGCTCAGTGTCCCCCCCATTGGTAGGGAGTCCCCACTGCAGTGTTGGATAGTCAACTTGTTGTTTCAAAACACCAGCTTTATGGCAGTTTTCAGAAAACTGACATTACACATGGGTTGTGTACACAGACACAAGTGCACATACGGAGGCACACACACACATATGCATACATAAACACGGGAACATAGACATACATACATACACGCACATGTGAGCATACTGATGCATAGATGTGAAAACACAGGTACACAGACACACATATACACACATATGACCACAAGTGTGGATAGATCTGGATGCTGCCCAGCAATCAAGGAAAGGATCTAGACAGGGCCGGAACGCTGTGCCTAGAGCTGGAGGGTCCGGGCAGATGGCTGGCACAGGAACTCTGTTTCTTGTGGGAACAAGGCCTGGGCATGACGTGGGCAGGAGCACAGCAGCTATTGGCTCCAGATCCCAAGGAAGCGTTTCCCACACTGAAAGAACCCTCCAGGTTACCTCTGTCTGAGGGGGAGGCCCAAGCAAAACTGTGGTCAGGTCTCCAGTGCAGATGGTTAGAGCCTCTGTGTGGCTGAGGGAGGGTCGGCTGCCGCCTCAAGGCCTCCCTCACGAATTAGACAGACTCAGAAGGCCAGAGGGCAGACCAAGAAGTGGGATCCCGTGCCGAGTCTGGTCTCGGTGCAGCACATTCTAAGGACGGCAACAGGACGAAGAGCAACAGATGACCAGGCTACCCAAAGAGAGGCGAGAATCTGAAGTGGGACTCGCTGGGGTCAGACCCTGGTCTGAACTCAGGGCTCCTGACCAGAGCTGGAGGCGGAGGGCAGCACGGCTCCTCTCTTGTGGTTTACAGACTTCTGCCAGGTAGAGAAGGAGGCCCACACGGTGCCCAGGCAGGCACTCCGCATGGGGCAGTGTGGCACATTCATGCCCAGTGTGTGGGGGTCTCAGTAAGACACGATGCAGATTTCCATTAGTGTTGATTAGGGTCCCCCAAACCCAAATTCACGGTAGCATGATGACAGGATATATATTCTTTCTAACATCCCCGGAGGTCAAAGCCACTGTTTGGAAGGAACGTTGCTATCTTGAGCTCCTCTATGAACAGTGATGGGTAAAACACTGGACTCTCAATGTCATTCGGGAAAATGCCAGCGTGACTGCGGAGTCATAAGCATCTCCATCCCACGTTGTTGGTCATTTAGTGGATGGGTGGGTGGCTGGGGGAAGGTGGGCGGGGGAGGGGTGGATGAGAGACTGACCCGTGGTGGAGCGTAGCCATGGTGAATGGATGCGTAGGAGGGTGAGCGGATGCACGACAAGACAAAGGGGTGGAGAGTTAGGCAGATGCATGAATGGATGGGGAGGCAAACTGGAAGGCTGGTGGACAGGCGACCAGTACTGATCAGACAGACTTGGACGCTTCAACCCAGTGCCCTTCAGGCCCTTCTTTGTGAGCGGTTTTCTTCCAGTTTTCTTTCTTTCTTTCTTTCTTTCTTTCTTCCTTTCTTTCTTTCTTTCTTTCTTTCTTTCTTTCTTTCTTTCTTTCTTTCTTATTTTCTAGACAGGGTTTCTCCGTAGCTTTTTTTGGTTCCTGTCCTGGAATAGATGTTGTAGACCAGGCTGGCCTCGAACTCACAGAGATCCGCCTGCCTCTGCCTCCCGAGTACTGGGATTAAAGGCGTGCACCACCACTGCCCGGCTCTTCCAGCTTTCTTGCAGCTTTCTCCCCCCCCCCCCATTCCTGTTTTGGGCTCAACGAATGCTGATCAGGTTTCAGACCTTCTTGTCTTCTCTCAGCGGAGTCATTAATCCACTCCTTACTGTGATGGGGCCACGTCCACCCTTGTTAGAAAGTAACGATTTCACAGACACTTCCAGTCAGTGCTGGCCGCCTCTGCTGATGGTGGGAGAGAGCGGCAAGGGTAGGGAATCTTGCTGCACCTGTCTTTGATCTTAAAACAAAATCCTTTCAGAATCTTTCTGCTTTCCTCACAGGCTCTTTCTCCCACATTGGTCATAGTCTCTTCCCATAAATCCCACCATCTCTGGTCGTAGATGAATTTTCTTAGCTATGATCATCTTGGTTGTTGGCTAATTTCGCCACACCCCTATACAGCTCCCTCCTCTCCCCTTTCTTTCCTTTCCCCTCCTGTCTTTCCTGTCTTTCTTTCTTCCTTTCTCCCCTTCGGAGTACTAATCACGCTCATTTCCTCTGTAGGTTTCTGGAAAAGTGGTGTCTAGCCACTGGCCCGGAACCGCTCCTTTCTTCAGCATGAACACTTCCCTCCCCTCCAGCTTCCTGACAAGCTACAAAGGAAAGCCATAGTTCCAAATACTCTCTCTGTGAGTGCCCATATCCCAAGCTCTGCCCCCGATTCCCCGATTGGCCCCTTTTCAGAGGTTGGCACAGCCCCTTGAGGCAGATTCTGTGTCTTGAAGCTTCATGTGCCTGTTCACCTAGCAGACCCAAGCACTCTCATTGGTGACAATGAGGGCAAGAGACATGTCACCATTTTGCACCTGAAGGTGAGGTGCAGGCACTGGGAAAACACTGGAGTCTTCTTACTACTTCATACCTTATAAGCCCGGCCCCATAACCTAAGGAACAGGAGACCTAGGGCTCTCAAGTGAGCCAGATATGGAATCAGACAACAGGTACCAGAATTTGGGCCACTTGTTCTGAACTGAGGTATCCCCAACAGCCTCCTCCAGCTGGCTCAGCTGCAGCCACCAGCAATGGGTTCTAAATTGGCAAGAAATGGGGTGGGGACCCAGGACGTGTGGTCACCGATACCCCAGTGAGAGATCTCGGCACCAGAAAGCTTGTTAGCAAAAGACTCGTAGAGGGTGTCTTTGTAGAGCATCTCATGGTATCTGTAAAGGGGACAGGCAACTGCAAGGTGTCATGGCCTAAGCTAGATTCTAACACGACAGCCTCCAGGTTAGTCCCTCAAGTCCCCAGATGACCATTTGACAGATAGAGGCCGAGTCCTCTTATATGAAAAGTTGGTTTAAGCCTCCCAGTAGGAAAATAAATAAATAAATAAAGCCTCCCAGTAGGTCCTTAGCTTATTTTGCATTTCTCTGTGTGGATTATAACCAGGAGAACCATGGGAGATGACTCAACATCAGGAAGTAGGCCAGACCCAGAACGCCATGGGCAGACACACACACACACACACACACACACACACACACACACACACACACACAGAGCTTTCCAAGGCCTAAAACATCATCCAAGGGCACCTAGCAAGTGATGTCCACAAGCCCCAGGAACTAAGCCAGATGCCTCTCAGCTTGTCTTGGCTATTTGAGCCTGGAGTCCCTGGTCCACAAAGTCGCCCACTGTCATAGGCATAGTGAACGACATAAAAGGCCAGCTCGTAGCTAAAAGACTAAGAGCCAGCCATCACAGGTGTTCCCAGAGTTCTGCAGCTTCCTGTCCACCAAACCTGCCCTAGGACAAACGTCCAACCCTAGAGCCCTCAGACCAAAGAAGCCCCAAGTTACAAGAATGGGAATTCCATTTGGGCCTCAGGGCCCACCCCTGGCCATGGGAAGGTCCACTCTGTTCCTGGAGGGCAGGCAGTGGGAGGGGTTTTTGATGGTACCCTGTGGGCTAGGCCCAAGGGATGGATGTCCCATAAGTTGATCTTTCAGTCTTCTTGATGATGAAGTTACTTGATTAAAAGTAACTTCATGCTCGGACACTTGAGAGGAGGGCAATTAATGACCTATGGCTGGGAGATGGACCTGGACAGCCACTGGTAGCCACAGGAGAACAGTGGCTCAGGGTGTGGTCTGAGCAGGCCCAGAACTTCTCACTGTCCTGTTAAAATGGACACAAGGACCTGGCCCAGCTTGCCTCTATGAAGGGTGATGCGCACCTTCTTCAAGCTTCACTTTCTACCTTGGGGACCCTCCTGGCAGTGCTCGCAGGACCTGGATCCTTACCTGTGCTGGCCCATTCCCTAGGAAACTGTTCTTCTGACCCCTTCACCTCACCTCGCCACACACAGAAGCAGGAGGTGAATACAGACCCAGATCCTGTCCATGAGGCTGTGTGAGAACCCCCAAAAGAGCTATACATTTCTGAAGGCGCCACAACCCTCACCAGCCACCATCCCACAGGTCTGTGCCCAGGACCAGGTGGTGCTGGCACTACCCATTGGGGAACTTCCTCATGCAGAGACTTCAGCATCCTGCATTCAACATCTGGATGAACATGGTTCCTCCGGCAGCACTCCTGCCTGGAAGCCCCTCATGGTGTCTAGGGTTTGAAGAGTGACATCTGTCCTCACCCAGGTCCTTCAGAATATTATAGCTTCACCCTACTCCATGCCTCTTTTGCTGGCTCCTGTCTCCATGGGATCAGTCTGGAAATTTCCACTGTATTTCTAGAGCCAACACTGGCCCCAGGCTCTGCTCAGCTCTGCCCAGCCCCCAGCATACGTTGGTGGATACTAGAGAGGCCATATCTGCGAACAAGTCCATGGTGTCCCAAGGTGATAGTGGGAATTTCCACAACGTTCCAAGAATTGTGAATTTTCTGACAGCAGAAAAGTGTTGTCGTGTGCACATGTGTGTACTCAGATGCATGTCTACTCTCACGTGCAAGCACACTTACAGGCAAGGCACATAGGATCAGAGGCCCACAATCGTACTGCACACATACATGCATGTACACTCGCTCATGATGTATACAACCATGAGCTCATGGCGCATGCACACATGTATGTGTGCACACATACCCCACCTGATCGGAGCAGCTGCAGCTGAATGACAGAAAGACCAAGTCATAGCAACAATTGCGCCCTCGGGCTTCACCATGGAGCACAGTGGGCCTTCCACCGAGACCGCTGGAGTGGCCCTGGACTACCCTGGCCTTTCTGTCATCAAAGGAGGGGAAAGGCCTGGCCATCTGGAGACTAGGAACTCAGATCTCCTTGCCAACCCCCAAGTGAATGGCCTTGAGCACTTCTGCACGCACGCACGCACGCACGTGTGATCAATTATGGCTCTGACCTTCAGAGCGATAATCCTTTTAGTCTCACTGACTGAATAACCTGGCTTCCAGACCAATACTGGGGCTAGGGTTGGGGCTGCGGCTGAGGCTGGGGCTGGGAAAGCAGGGAAGCCTCTGCCACAAGGGGGTTCCATGGGCATATGGGAAGGGCACAGAGGGTACCCTGAGGGGTGTCCTCCCCAATGGCTCAACACTGTATATCCTGCCCAGCCTTCACCTGCTGAGATGCGAAGGCTTGGCGTTGGCTATCTCTCCAGGCCAATGAGGTGCCACATCCAGAGTGTCCCAGGCCCACCCACAAAATCATCGCAGTCCAGAAGCCAAACCACACAGTGTCCCAGTCCTGGCCCGCACTCTGACCTTTTAATGGAAGCATCTTGTAGCCCCAGGGCTGGCAGCATCCTCCCCTGAACTCCTAAACTTGTTGGCTCCTCTGGGTGGGGGAGGGGTAGAAGAACTTCCTGCCTCCGAACAGTATATATGCAGCCAACTGGGGCCTCTGAGCACCCATATCCTGAGGACTCATCCCAGGAAGACACAGCAGAGCGATGAAGCTTCTATTGCTGCTGGCTGTGGGGCTGGACCTGGCCTGGGCCCAGCAGGACCAAAGCCAGGTTCCCGTGCAACAGGGCTTCAGCTCTGATCAGGTGGGATCTCTGAATAAGGCAGGGAGTCACCCCATATCTTTTCCAGGTCTCTGTCACCTTGAAATGTCTTGACTGCAACTCCCTACAATGGGCACCAAAGGACTGACATTCTACTTGAGGCCAGGAGCTCAGGGGACACTGCCAGGTCCCCCAGAGTATGAATCACAGAAAAGCCCAACTGCCGTTGGCCAGGCCCCAGGAGGAGCCTGAACCTAGGGATCAAATAGGAGAGACAGGGTAACCAGGTTTTCTACTGTGTGTGCTATTGCACAGAGACCCTGAGACCTTCATATGGTAGACGACACCACCTCTCTTCAATAGAGAGTCAATATATTCTACCAGCACTGTCCATGGGCAGTGGCTATACTGTGCTGGCCTGTCAGATTGGGGGGTGGTGGTGGAGGAGGAGAGTCAGACCCTAAGGCATCTTCTCAGCACACAGTAAGAGAGGTAAGGTGAGGTCCATACTCTATACCTCGGCAGGACATTGCCTGCCGTGACCCACTGTCCAGGGAGATGGCTCCCCAGGACTCTGTGGTCAGGATAGAACCTTGCTCTGCAGGTGACAGGGGCCTGGAAGACCCTCAATCTGGCTTCCACTAACCGGTCTGTCATTGAAGAAGGAGGTGCTTACCAGTGCTTCATGACTGGTATTGTCCGCCTGGCCAACGGCAACCTGAATGTTACCTACTTTCACAGGTATTCTGGCGTGTTGCAGGGCCACGTTCTCTCCACCACCTCCCAGATGCCCAGCTCTTTAGGGTTCAGATTCCTAGAGGGCCCCGCCGATACTGATCCTCTGGGCTGCTCCGTGGAGGCTGGGCATCTTCCAGAGCTCCCTCTGGGTGATCCAGGTGACCTGACAGGGCCCCGTCCCTCAGGGCAGGGCTCAGGAAGGCTATCTTCCTCTTAGGAAAGATGGAAAGTGCGTGAAGGAATTTCTCGTGGCAGAGAAAACGGACATCCCTGGACGCTACACCTTTGAGTGTGAGTGAGGACGGCCGCTCCTCCCTCCCTGAGGGGCATGGTGGCTCAGGTGGGGTGTGAGAGGCTGCTGGGGTCAGGAAGGACGGGGATGGTAATGATCCAGACCTAGCAGCGATGTCTTCCGAAATCAAAAATCCAAGAAGGGCAACCCAAACTGTGTCCCCTTGAGTTCCCAGGGCTCCCCCACAATCTTCCTGAAAGCCCTCCCTAGAGACCCAGCCCAGAGCTGACCTTCTTCAAATGGCAGGCAGTGGGAGGGAGGCTGGAAGGGGGAGGCACTCAGGAAACCGCACCCAGCTGTGGCTCTGGAGTACTGTGTAAGGTTTTCCCTCTGGAAAAGATGCTGATCAGGCTAAAGGAACACAAAGCAGTGTTGGGGCAGTGAGGCTCAAGAGTCCATGCAGATAACAGAAGACAGAGGGGGAGACTCGAGCCCTTCCCCTTCCTTGGCATGACCTCCCCACTTTCTTGCCCAGAAGGAGACCCAGATCAAGAGACAGGGGAGGGAATTGGGGGGAAGCAGAACAAGAGGAAGACGGATAGAGAGGCAGAGGCAGGAGGAGTGACTAGCTGGTGGGCTTTGTGCTCTGGGCTCTGCTGACTCCTGTGGCTGACCGTGCGAAGAAGGAGTCAGGCTGCGCCAACTGGGGAGGCACAGGGTACCTACCGGGAGACACAAGGGTCCTAGCAAGCTTCATGACCGTTGGTTTCTTGTTATAGACCAAGGCAAAAACTATCTGACTTTCGTGGCCGTCACTAAGGACTTCCTCATCATGGACTACGAAAACCATTATGAAGGAAATATCCTCATTGTGGCTGAGCTCCATGGTGGGTGCCGTTCCCACCCACAGCCTCAAAACTGCAGTGGATGACAGGAGAGCTGGAGAGGCGGGTGGGGAGGCTGGGGGAAACTAGGGTCTGGATCTGTTCTCCCTACCCCAAGTACCCTGCCTACAGTTCTCTGCTCAACTGTGCTCTCCGCCCTGCTGGCTGTAGGCAGGACTCTGCTTTCAGGTAAACTGGGATTGGTGGCCTATTTGAAGCACACAGCCAGAAGAGGCATTGGAGCAGGCAACATTGTGGATGTGTCCTTGGATCGTAAGCCTCCTTTCCTACAGCTTCTTCTCTGTGGGTCCCCAGCCACAGTGGCTATGAAGACTGTGACTCCTTTGCAAATCAAGGACATGACAGGGTGGGAGGCTTAGCAGAGCTAGGGCTGGTAGGAAGATGGGACACTGGAGGGAGAAGGGGACACACGTGATGAACTCTGACCTCTGCTTCCTTTTCGGTCCGCAGCAAGATGTAGCTCCTGAGGTCTGTAGGTGATTAGACTCCTTAATCATCCATATTCGGGCAGATAGACTTTTCCAGGCAACATCCTGCAAAGCCTGGCCCCAGAGTGTAGCCGTCAGGGTTTGTGAAGGATGCTGCACCGGGGCCCAGCCTGAATTAGAACATCAGGTGGGCCCAGGGAGACTCAGGCTCTCTCCAGGGTTCTGGGGTGTGTGTACATGCGCCCCAGTACACACTTTATTTCTGGACAATTCTGCGCCTCTCGTGCTCACTCTGTGCTTTGCTCAGAACCCCACTCTGCACACACCCTTGCATGGCACTCCCATTCCCAAGGGCTCCCTGGATCCAGGCTTTCCCCTCAATTCTGTCTCCTGGCTTCCCAGACTGCCCCTTCAGATCCCCAAGAAAGCAGTATGAGCCTATCAGCCCATGTCCATCATAGAAGTACAAAGCTTGGAGGGACGCCATAGGTTCTTTAAAACCCTTGCTCTGGGAACCACACCACAAGGTGGGGACAAGGGCTCAGGGCTTGGTGAATCTGGGGGAATATGGCCCTCATGGAGAGCTTGGAGATCAAGGCCCAGGAGACAGGGACAGCAGGGTGACGGGAGGGAGGGCACGGGGAGGAAGGGACAGAGAGGAACGTCAGGACACTGATCTGAAGCCTATTCTTCCTTAGCTTGTAACAGTGCCTGAGATCAGACCGCCGGACATCTGCCGCCCTCAAGTCCAGGCCTGTGCAACCCAAGAGTCAGCGCTGTCCATGGCCTCCGTCTCCTGACATTCTTGATCATCATCTCCTATCCATTCATCAACTCCGAACCACCCTTCCCTGTGTAGCAAATAAACCCAGCATCCGCTCATGGCATCCAGTGCCTTTTTGTCTGTACTCAAAGGCCACGGGGATCTCCCCTAGGAAGGGGTGGCATCCACCTAGTTTCTGACAAGGTGGGGTAGGGATGGTGTCCCCAGGTAGAAATCTCATGCCCAGGGCAGCAGCTGAGCTCTGAGGGGCTTCAGGGACTTCTGGATTCCTGAGACTGAGCTATCCAGACCAAACCTGGGAGGACCCATCTCTGTATGTCTGGGCAGGCAAACCTGAATGGCCCAAGGAGAGGGAGGAGCATCATTGCCACCTTTATAGAGTCCTTGCCCACCCTCCCCAGAACCTGAACCCACTCTTATCATAGGAACAGCTAAGGTCAGGTTAGCCATGGGCAGGGATTTTCTGTCCTCTAGGATATGAAGGACATATCATGAAGTCTCTCAAAGCCTGAGTCATTGTATCTGTGGCCAGGAGTGGAGGCTAGGACCTTACCCAAGAAAGCTATGCATAGACAGAAAGATCTTGCAGGTCAGGCCAGGTTCTCCTTGCCTGGGTTTCTGACCTTCCCCCAAAAGTGACCGTTTCCTGCCTTAGAAGTCATTGGCTGTAAGTGAACTTAATCATGAAGTTAAGGAGTGGGCAAGTGCCTGGCTACTGTCAGCTCAACCCTAGTGGGAAGCTGGACTCTGGTTACCCAGCAACAAGCTATTCCTCCATCACACCCAAAGACGGAGCTGGCCCCTGTGTGCAGTTCTCTAGAGTGTCCCTGAGCCAGGTCCCTGCAGAACAAAAGAGAAAAAAAAACACAACAAAATCAAAACAAACAAACAAACAAACAAACAAAAAAACAGAACAAAATGCCTGAAAAAAGGCCAGAGAAGGAGATGGTGCAGAGCAAGGTGTCACAATTGGCCTGAGCTGTTCAGTGTGGTGTCTGGAAGGAATGAGTAAGCCTGGGGTCTGACCCTAAAGCAAAGGAGGACACTAGAAAAGTGGCCACCCCATGCTGTCCTGGACCCATGGGGCAGAGTGGCCCTGAGGCTGTCAGAGGGGTGGTGAGAGACATTCATAATAAACAGGTACGGTAGCAGCCCACACCGGCAGGGCCCTCACATTCCTCAAGTGCTGTCCAGAGAGATGGTCTGTGTGGAACTGTGCTCCCCTTCACACCCCAGGAAGGAGCTAGCTGGTGTGAGGTGAGCAAGGATGGAGGAGAGTCCTTCCACTTCTGCTCCTGTGGCCAGTGGATAGCGCACTAGGAAGATGGCAGACCTGGGGACAAGGGGCTACACCCTGAGGGAGTAGCAGACTCGCCTATGGTCTTCTCCTAACCAGCAGCCTCTCCCTGGGCTCCCAGGACAGACTGCAATGTGGTTAAGCTGCCCCGACAGGCTCACCACGTTTTTGTCTCACTGGCTTGAGTGGTACTCAGCTCTGTTTCAGGCCTAGGGAGGGCTGGAATGTGCACGGTTGGGAGGAGAGAAAGGCGGGCCAGCAGATGCTTAGAAGTGGGATGCTTAGGATATTCTCAGAGACAGGGAGCTGCTGGGGCCTGCTGCACTTGGTCTCAGGTGCCATGACACTCATGAGGGCATGGCTGCTGTTCATGGCCTTCAACATAGATCTGGCCCAGAAGAATCTGGAAGAGGTGCCAGTGCAGCCCGAATTTGATGCACATAAGGTGAGTGTCACAGCCGGGTCCAAGCTCCGTGCTGGGGTAAGGACTGGGTGCAGTGTCGCAGCATGGGTGTGCTTAAGTACCCCGACTTTCCAGGAGCTCTGGGAGACACAGCAATCATTAATTAACAGTGATAACTGAAGCTGGTGGTCCAAGAGGAGACTCGGAGGCTGTAGAGCCCTGGCTGTGGAAGCAGAGCCAGAGCTGAGATGACAGGTCCCCACAAGGACATGTTGCTCAAAGTGTGCCCGGCTCCTGTCTGCTTCTGCCTGTCTATCTCTGGGTCTTGGTGCCCAGAATCAGATGTGGGGACTGCGCAGGCTGGGAGGATTAGTGAGAGCAGTTCCAAGTCATGACTCTGGGGAACAGAGCTCAGGCCAGTGATAGGAGGGATGGGAGAGGCGGGGGGAGGGATGCACTGAGAAAGAGGGGGCACTGAGGAAGAGGGGCACTGAGGAAGAGGGGGGCATTGAGAAAAAGGGGACACTGAGAAAGAGGGGGCACTGAGGAAGAGGGGCACTAAGGAAGAGGGGGCACTGAGCAAGGGGACAGAGAAGGAAGGAACACCGGAAGAGAATGGAGGCGAATATTTCTAAGCAAAAGTCACAGCTTGCAGTCTGACCTGGGACCCCTAGAAGCTCACTATACTGGGGGGGTGGGTAGGCCAGTGTACACCCTGGGCATGGGTGCCCATCTACTGACCAGGCTTATTTTCTGTACACTGAGACGGGAAGCTCAGAACTCGTCATCTCTCTGGTCCCCATGCCCACACTCCCGCAGGTGGAAGGACGTTGGTTTACCATCCAGCTGGCCACTAGCCACAGGGACCTGGTCTTGCCCACTGACCCCCTGAGACTTTCCCTCCACTCCATTCAGACAAGAGACAGCGGGGATGTGGACTTTGTGCTGTTTGAGAAGTGAGTGCCTGCGGTAACTCTTATCTCCTGCCCAGAGCCCTGAGGGGTTAGCATGGGTGGCCAGAAGGACCGTGATACCGTGCCAGACTGAAGGCTATGGCTTGCAAGTACATGCCCCAAGGCTTATGAGAAAGAGATGGCAGAAGAGGCACATAGCTGCCAGGCCTGACTGACATGCCCTCCAAGACACATACCATGTGGTCTAGCCTCCAGCCATGGAGGAAATCCCAAGTCTGGTTCTTTAATGCTCAATTATTGTTATTTAAAAGTGCAGGAGTCACCTGAGCTTAGTGGCACGTATCTTTAATCCCAGTGCTTGTGAAGTAGAAGCAGGATGACCAGGGGTGTAAGGTCATCCTTAGCTATATAACGAGGCCAAGACCAGAGTGGACCCCACGAAACAGGAGCTTTGTCTGTATAGAACAAGAACTGTTAGAGACAAACAGGTCAGGACTGTGAGCCCAGGACCCAGCTCTGAGGACAGTCTAGTCTCCGCCTCTTCTGGAAGCCTGGTTTCATCCACGATGACCAGGGCCATCATCCATCCCCTGTGAGTAGGACCCGTTTCTGTCCTTACAGTGACCAGCACCTGTGGCTACCATCCTCTCTCTCATCTAACCCTAATGAAGGCTGCTCCCAAACACTGGGAGCTGAGAACTGGGGACAATTTCAGGGCTCTCAGCCAGGGTTCCCTCCAGTGTTCCTCTGCGCCTGGAGCCAGCCACCCTGTCAAGCAAAACTACATATAAAGTCCTCTTCTCTCTAGAGGAGAGGGGATATGCTCAGGGATCAATGTCACTGTCAATCCAGCGGGGCTCCCGGGCCAGTACCAAGGAACATGTGAGTACTTCCTGGGGAACCGGGGTGCTATGCTGAATAGGGAGGTCCAACTGGGGGGTTACAGATGCCCTTCACAGAGCCCAGCACCCACAGGAGCTACCAGCTTTGGGCAGGCTACACAATCCTCCCAGCTGTGTCACGGTCTCTGTGGGAAGGTGGGGTACTGGGGACAAAGGGCAGAGGTATTTCATGTCACCCGGTTTTCCACAGTTGAGGGAGGCAGCATGCATGTCCATTTCGTCAGCACCGACTACAACAACCTCATTCTTTACGTACGCTTTGAGGACAACGAGGTCACAAACCTGTGGACACTCCTAGGTAGGTAATGGTTCTCCCCTGCCCTGGCTGCTGTGTCTAGGTCCTCTGGGAGGTGTTGGTCATTCCCTAGTCTGACCAGATACTTTCTGTCCAGAAGCAGAGTTTCATGACGGCTGTTAGGGAAGTGTGGGCAGCTCAAAGCGACACCCAGGCTCCGACCAAACAGGAAACTGCATTCTTTCAGGCAGCTCATTCACTGTAACATGGAGGGTCCTGTTTGTTTTGGGAATTTTTGTCCCGCCCAATACCCCACAATTGTTTAGCCCCAAAGAAAATCACACATAGATCTCCATAAATTATAAGCTGATTGGCCTATTAGCTCTGGCCTCTCACTGGCTAACTCTCACATCTTGATTAACCCATTTTTCTCATCTATGTTAGCCATGTGGCTCAGTATCTTTTTTTTAGTGAGGCAGATCACATCCTGCTGCTTCAGTGGTCTGGGCAGGAGTGGGAGGAATCAACTTCCTCCTTCCCAGAATTCTCCTGTTCTCATTACATCATTTCTACTTCCTGTCTGGTTTTCCCACCTATATTTCCTGCCTGGCCAGTCAGCATTTATTTATAACATGATTGACAGAATACAGACAATTCTCCCGCACCAATTCACTCAATTCATTACTCATTCACATCCTACTCATGAGCATCAGGTGTTGGATGCTCTGTCCTGGGATTAGCAGTAGCTGGGTCCTTCCAGGATTCCCGAAAGGAAGCATCAGGGAAGAAGGACATGAGGGGTTGTTAGGCAGCTGTTATATCTTGAAGATTGGAGGCAGGTGGGGTGGGCCACAACCAGGGTCCTGGTGACACTGAAGGTAGCCAAGAGCCTTGAGCTCTGAGAAGGATCAGGGGTGCCTGGGTGGCGGGGTGGCGGGGGGAGTACGACACGGGTGTGAGTGCAGGTAGGAAGCTGGGGCTCTCTTTTCCCATGTTGGGCATAGAACTCATGGCTTCTGCATACCAGGCACACGCTCCTCCTGTTGGTCACACTGGCTGTCTCCGACATGCTTTGAGAAGAGACAGTGAAGAGACTGTTGTGGTCACTGGGAGAGGGAGGTGCTGGGTCTGGGAGGGAACTGGGGAGATGGTACTGCTCCCCAACCAACCCCAACATACGCCCTGCAAATTCAGGAGTCAGCGTCAGGCGACTGAGGTTCGTGGTCTCTGTACCCTGCCCCGGGGCTCTGTTTATCCAGGAAAACTGAGAGCTCGAAGATCTTCTCCCTCATTGTTATCTAATTCCAGCCAGAAGAATGCTTGAGGACCCTACCTGGCTAGGGAAATACCTGGTGTTTGTAGAGAAATTCCACCTTCAAAAGGCCCCCATCTTCAACATCGCTGGTAAGAGCTGCCCTCCAGCTGCTCCTCAGCTGTTTAAGGAGGTCCTCTCTTTCTCATCCATCTCATGATGCAATAACAACACAAGAACGGCCTTCATGATGTTGCTGTTCTGGCCAGACCTGTGTTGGATGCTTCCCCTGCCAGGCTTTATGTGGTACCTTGAGTCACAGTGATGAGGGCACTTACTGACTCCATGCCACGGGTATGGCTCAGACACAATCCAGAGTAAGGGAGAGGGGCACAACTAGGAAGAGGACCTGGGTGTGACCCAGATCTCAGGGTCTCCTGACCCCAGCACACAGCCCTTTTGCACCACCACTCGGGATGTCATTTAGTCAATCAACAAGCACACAGCCGTGTCTGTGGAACAAGACAGGCTCAGATCACACCTAAGCAGACAGCAGCAGAGGAGGAGCAAGGCTGCAATGGAGCCATTTGTCAGGAGCAGGGGCTGCAGGGGACTCCTTGCATGTGCAGAGGTCAGGAAGAGTGTCCTCAGAGAAACCTGAGGCTCCCTGGAAGAGAGGACATGCTAAGGATATGGGGGGGGGAGTGAGCCTCTACCAGAGCACTGACTGATTTGAAAGCAATCAAGTAAAAAACTTAATCCCACCCTTTTTCTTCATCTCCACAGACTGGTGTCCCCCAGATAGGGCCTAGATGTTGCTACCCACTTGGGCCCCTTCATCTTCTGCTGTTTCAATCTCCCTTCCTCCTCCTCATCACAGCCAACAGCAGAGGAAAAGGGGTTTCCTTCAGCAGTTCCTAGGGCCCTGAAGCCCAGAGCTACCCCTGCCTGTCTGGTCTTCCCCTTCCCCTTTTTCTCTGTGGTAACCGAGTCCCATCGAACACCACAAAGGGATCCCCAAGACTCCCCGCCTGGTCTGTGACTAAAGAAATGTCCAGGAGGCTTAAGAGATACCGACTTGAAAGAAGGCGAGCAAATTTAGGTGTTCTTATAGAAAACGCCCCATTGTGCACAGAAAATTTACTTGGGGGCTGAGGAGTGGCCCAAGGGCAGGGCTCTTACCCAGCACACTTAAGACCTTACATCCATCCACATTTGATAGCAGCCAAAAAAAAAAAAAAAAAAAGACCTTACATCCATCCACATTTGATAGCAGCCAAAAAAAAAAAAAAAAAGTAACTCGACTACACAGAGATGTGACATTCCTGTGTAACCTTCAGTGTTTTGGGAAACATGACCCTCACTCTGTAATAAATAAAAGAGACTGGCGAAAGGGAGCAGTTATCTTAATATACTATTCTATAAAAAGGGACTCTATCGTGAAGAAAGGGGCCAAATGGCATAGCTGGTGTGTTAGTCATTGTCCTATTGCTGTTGAAAAGACACCATGACCAAGGCAGCTATTATAAAAGAAACCATTTAATTGAGGCTGACATACAGTCTCAGAGGCGTGGTCCATTATCATCATGATGGGAATCAGATGGGCATGACACCTGGTACAGTAGCTGAGAACTACATCCTAATTCATCCACAAGGAGAGAGAGGCAGGGAGAAGCTGGGCCTGGTGTGGGCTTTTGAAACCTCAAAGCCCATCCCCAGTGACACACTTCCTCCAACAAGGACACACCTCCTAATCCTCCAAATTCTTCCAACCAGTCCTCCCTAGTGACAAAGCATTTTCCTATACAAGCCAATGGGGCCACTCTCCCTCCATCCACCAAGGCTGCCGTGCTGACTCGGCATGAGACAGCGGTTTGTTTTAGTTTTACTTCTGGGTTTTGCTTGTTTGCTTTTAATGTGTGTGTGTCTGAAAGAGAGAGAGGGGGTGAGGAGAGAGACAGAGACAGAGGAGAGAGAGAGCTCTACAAGGGGCAGCAAGTGGTCTTAACCAGTGACCCATCTCTCAAGCCTGGGAGAATGGTTTTTAAAGTCTCTCATCCCAAGAAGCCCTGCTGTCTTCACCCATAGACCAGCACCCCCATCACATTCTTCTGGCAGAGCCCACACCTTCCCAAATTCCCCGTCCTATTGTTCAGGACACAAAATCTTATCTAATGACTATCCTAGGGGTCGAGACTGCCCCCTTTGCTGATTATGGACTCAGTCACACAGCCAACAGCCTACAACTTCACAGCTCTCTAAGACAAGCACCAGCCCCCAGCTGGAAGGGGGAGGGGCCAAGAGCTTCCTTTGATCTGTACCTCTCAGGCACTCTAAGCGTACTGAAAATGGGCCATATGGATTTATTTCTCACAATATGATGCAGATTTAATAACCCTCGGTTACTCTACACACTAAACAGCTCAATGTCTGGTTACAAGCACTCCTCCCTGAGGGAGAAGTGAAGATCTACCCGCTCCTCAGAAGGTACCAGTGGCAAACCTAAATTTAGCCTGGAGAACCTATGCATTTGTTTGGCTCACTTACAGAAGCGGGTGGCCTATGCATCTGCCTGGGAAAGTCTTTACCCAGTGTGGATGGGGGCTCCTCTTGGTTAACTATCTCTTCCAAATACTCTAGCGCCTCTAAGACCTGAGGCCTCCTCATACAGTTAGGACAGAATTGGATATAAATTCTTAGAAGGGCCAACTGACTCCTCAAATGTGGATCCAATGACAGCCTCACCCCCCTTCCTTCTGTGAGGGAATGTCAATAGTCAACAAGCCCAATCGTGTTGGACCCTTGCCAGTAGTAACAGCTGATCTGATGAAGATGGCAGCTGTTTTGCTCAGAGGACCTTGTTCTACAGCAGGTCCAGGAAGAAATTTTTCCTAAAATACAAAATGAATCTGAAATCTACATGAAGGCATAAAAAATTTTGAGAAGTTTTAAAAATAAAAGCAGTGCATAGAGCTCCAGCATTCCACCCTAGTGTAGAGAGAGGAAGCTGAGAATCACGTGGCATCAGCTCAGGACAGAAGAAAGGCCAACAGAACCGGATGAGATACCAAGCCATGAGCCCAACACAGGGATGATGGGAGACCAGGCCATGAGCACATAGGGATGATGGGAGACCAGGCCATGAGCACACAGGGATGATGGGAGACCAGGCCATGAGCCCAACACAGCGATGATGGGAGACCAAGCCATGAGCCCAAAGGGATGATGGGAGACCAGGTCATGAGCACACAGGGGATGATGGGAGACCGGGCCATGAGCACACAGGGGATGATGGGAGACCAAACCATGAGCAGAGAGGGATGATGTGAGATCAAACCATGATCACATAGGGATGATGGGAGTCCAGGCCATGAGCACACAGGGCTGATGGGTGACCAAGCCATGCGCACACAGGGATGATGGGAGACCAAACCATGAGCACACAGGGATGGTGGGATACCAAGCCATGAGCACACAAGGATGGTTCACCATGGGACTGAAGCAGCCAACAGAGCAAAATGTGTTCAGCAGACAGAGCCGGGGGAACAAGTGCACACATGGGAGAGAAAACTGGTGATCTCAAAGGACATATTATCTTAAAATTACTTTCTTAAAAGAATCCAGAAATGTCTATAACATGAATATTAAACTTTGGGGAAATGTGGTGAATCCAGGATATAAAACTCAAAGGATAAGAGGGGTACTATCAGAATTTTTGACCCTGGTACATCAAAAAAGGGCATTGCTGACAAAATTGAACTAGGATTTGTTCATCAGAATTTTGGTAACGAGGAACCAAGTACAGGGTGGTCTAGACCAGGGCTTCTTAAAATTTTCTGCTTATGACCATTTTTACTTGGGATTTTATTTATGAATTTGTAGACAAGATTTCACCTTGTAGCTCTGGCTGACCTACAACTTGCTATGTAGACCAACTTGGTCTTCAACTCACTGAGATCCATCTGACCTCTGTCTCCTGATCAAAAGCATGTGCCACTATACTTGACTACCAGAGATATTTTTTCCACTAATTCAGGTATACATAGAAAGATAGGTAGATGGATAGATAGATAGATAGATAGATAGATAGATGAATACGTATGTATAAATATATATAGATAGATAAGTTAAGCTCACAAACCAAACATTTGTTGAAAACAAATCATAAAGAAAATATGTTAAAGTAATCATTTGGCTTAAATAATACTTTTACTATTTTTAAAATTTACTACTAAATATTAGAGCAAATTTACATACTAATGAGATAGATGCTTGCTAATTTTTACATAAAGTTTAAATCTGGTCTGAATATTTGCTACTGCAAAAACAGAATCTTCAGCGTTTTTAAGAGTCAGGATTTTAATTTATAAACGGCTCTGAGAATGCCGTTTTGTATAGTATACAAAAGCAAAAGTGTGTTTGGGACCATTTCAGAAATTGGTGGAAAAACATTTAACAACCCAAAATTTACTTAACCCAATTTTTAAAAGAAATTCAAGTTAGTAATTCACAGAGCAATTTTAAGGTACATTTCTCAAAAGATATACCATTTGAATACTTCATGTTAAAAATATAAAAAAATACAGAAAGTCTTTGTTTTCTGAAATGAAAACTATTATGCTTCTTTAAGAGCAGAAAACTTTGTATGTACTCCAGCCCCACCCACCCCCACTGCGGTTCATAACATACAATGGCTTGGAATCTGAGCTGAGGCATTTCAGGCAGAGTTTACTGGTGTGGTATGGTGGAAGAGCAAGCACTGTGCAAAAGTGCATGTGTGTCCAGTACCAAGGCTGCAGTGGAGTCACATGACTCAGCATGGTGAGAGCGGCTGGAAGCCCCTTATATCAATCATGACTTGCTTAAATTTGATTTTCTGGTCCTTAACATCTTCAGAAGTCTTTCACTGTTTCCATTTTTGCAGACTCGGGCACTTAGTTATGAGACCTGACTTGTAAGGAGCTGGGGTGTAGGCTACAGTAATTTGCTTTCTGTCCTAGAGGCTGAAGTCTGGGACCAGGTCTGCAAGTCTGGGTTCACCACACCACCCATCCTGGAAGCAGTGGCTCCCTGGCTTCTCAGGACCTGGCTAACCCTGTCTCCCTTGCTCTACCTAAGCACTCTTGAGTATGCACAACAGTTCCACAGGCAGTATTCACACACACACACACACACACACACACACACACACACACACACACACACCAGTGGCTGACCACAGGCTGCTGAGGGCCCTGCTGTCGTTTCCTGTCATCCTGGCTTAGCACCCTTACAGAGGAGCTCAGTAAACAGAAAATGTCAGGCATAGTGTGGTACTCCTGCTCGTAGGAGGCTGAGGCAGGAGAAGGGCAAGTTTAGGGCCAGAGTTGGCAAGTGATGAGAACTTGTTTCAAAAATAACAAAAGAGGGATTGGAGAGATGGCTAAGTGGTTAAGAACACTTGCCTGCTCTTCCAGAGTAACTGAGCTCAATTCCCAGCACCCAAACCAGGTGGCCGACAACTCTCTGGAACTCTAGCTCCTGGGGTACCCAATATCTCTTACCTCTGCTGGCACCTTCACCCACATGCACGTTACCCCCTCCACATATTTAATCAAAAACAAAGTAAAATAGTTTAAAAAAGCAAAATGCAGCATGGATTTAAAGTGTCTCACTTGATAAAGTAGTTGCCGCACAGTTATGAGGCTTTGAGTTTGATCCCTAAAACCCACGTGAAACAGCTGGGCATGGCGGTGCACACTTACAAACCCAGCATGGGGGGGGCAGGAGAATTCCTGGGACTTACTGGCCAGCCAGCCTAACCCACTTGGCAAGTCCCAGGGTGAACTCAGAGACCCTGTCTCAAAACACAAAGTGGGTGGACCCTGAATAATGACAGCAAAGGTTGTTCTCTGGCCCTCACATGTGTGTGTGCATACCTGCACATACCCACAAACATGCATGCACATACATGCACACACAAATTAGCTTAATCCCCTTCTCTGTAACTGCATGTATTGGGCATGCTTCCAGTTCATCTGGATCCCACCATGTGCTGTGCAGACTGAGACCATGGGAGAAGGAGCCGGTCTCAAGCATCTTGACCACACACTACATACTTGACAACCAAGCCAATGGACTTTTATTGTTTTTTTCTTCTATAGATTAATGTTAAAGCATTTTTTCACTGTGTGAAAAGATTTTTATTTGTAAACTAAAGTCTTCCTCCATTGAAATAAAATATACTCGGCTCCATGTCTTGATAACTTCACGTTGCCTACACCGCAGAGCTCACGGCATGATGTGTACGGACATAAAATATCACCTTTTTTTCATTCAGTTTCAATCAAATTAGCTGATTCAAAATCGCAAGAAAAAAACCGTGGATTTGGAAAGAGTGTACATTATCAGGCTTCTGAAGTGTGAGTCTTTAAAAAGGCATCCTGTGTCTTTAAGGAACTACTGGGGTTTGTTCTTTTTAGCCCATAGCCGCTGGTGCATCACAAACTGTCTATGGGATACTGAGCAATCTTCATGGACCGCACTTGCCGAAGGGTGTGGAAGGTGGGGTCCCAGCTGTACTCTGGGGAGAGAAGCTTGGTGGGCTTGTTGAGGAAGAAATATTTGTTGAGGTATTTCTCATAGGTGCTGTTGAGTCCGTTTTCGGCATCCAAAACAACTCCTTTCATGTATTCCTGAGTCAAGTCCAGAACCTTGAGGGGCACTCCGCCTACAATGGTGCCGGCGTAGTAGAAGTCCCCCAGCCCGAAGGGAATGTAGGCTGCGGACTCAGGTCTCCTCTCATAAGGAAGATCCCCTGTCTTCCGGAAATACCACCAAGCATGGAGCTGGGCTACAGACATGCTCAAGGTCTCCACTCCAAACTCACTCTGGAAGACCAGGTTAGCGCTCATGCTGAAGAGGAAGTCCACCTCGTATCTGATGTGGTCTTGGATGTGCTCACCCAGGAGTTTCATGCGCATGAGGTCAAAGTCAGTCCACCATCTCTCCTCACCTATGAGGTGGATTTGAAAGGACTGCCGAGGGCCGTAGTTCATTTCAGGTAGCTGCAGGAACCTATCCACCATGACGTAGAAGATCACCTTATAGCCAGGCATGAAGAACTTACTGGCTGATCGCAAGAATGGGTCCAGGTACTGGTCAGTGAGACTGGGAACACATGGAACAAGAAATTATGTTTCTAAACGGAATGGGTGCCCTTGAATGTGCACCCACTAACAAGAATGTGCACACCACTAAAAAGAGACGTGGCCTTGATACTGAAAAACTCCAGTAGGTCAGGGTAGAGATGTTGAGTCTGAAGATCAACCAAGCTAGTTAGTAAGCCCATAGTTCTGACAACGGCCATAGAATTTTAGAACTACTGAGTCCGAGCTAAGTGGGGCATTGCTTAAGAACTCTTGAGTGGCCTTATGGACCTAGCCTTGGTAGAAGCACTCATCATAGCCCATTCTCTTTGGTATGCTCAGCAGTAGTGATCTCAAAAGAGGACTTATAGCTCCTTAGGGGCAAAACATCTATGGATACTGAACCACATTCCCCACGATAAAGGGGCAGTGCTCCATAGCATCTACCTGCCAACTGCAAACACAACCAAGCCCACGGTGATGTTCTGCTTTCTGTAATATTTCTCAAGGGCCTCTCTGTCGAAGGTGCCTTCCCATATGACTGGAGCCAGCCAGTCCGTGGTGGTGATGACGTCCACACGCATCCTATGGGACACACACAAAAGCAGAAATAAAATTTGACAGTGTGGTTCAACAGTCAAAAACTGACACAAGTCACCATGTCAAAGCCAAAGAAGAGGCGCATGTTGGGTGTCATGGCACAGCGACAGTGATGGACACCCAATGCCGGATGTTAGCTAACCCTGAGATGGCACCGACGAGGCGCCAATCAGATGTAGTGACCTCTGGTTTGCTCATGTGACCCTGGCAATGCCTTTCCTCGGGTGAGTGCAAGTTTTCTTCTTGTTCTTCATGTGGGCACACAGCTAGCAAGTGGCTGAGCTGGCAGAGCCACAGCGCCCCCAGACAGTCTGGCCTCAGACTTGGCATTCTCCTCTGAAGCCTGGGATTATTTATCTTGAGAGCTAGTTCCAATTTAACCAATTAAAACATAGTAGACAACCCAGAGCCCTTCCATAGTCTTGGTTTTGCCTGAAGGCAGCACTGTAGGCAGGATCCCTGCTTCAGAGCCTGACTTCCTTGTTCCTTTTCTTATTCTGTGTACCCTGTGGTGTTCTAAACACATGGTTCAAGCCATCTGTGTCATCCAACAAGAGTGAGATAGATTAGACTTGCATTCAGTATGGAGGAAATAGAAAGATTAGGACATGCCAAGAAGGTGAGGCATTTCAAAATTAATGTAAGTCACCATATCAGAAGCTAAAGAAAAGTCACATGTCCAAATCCCTCAACACAGGAAAAACATTACGGAGTCTAACACTTATTCATGATCTTAAAAAGAAACTTCCACAAAAGGATGGGAATGGGGAGAACTGCCCAATATGAAATTTTTAAAAATCTACTTGTCCCATGAATGTGGTGGTGTACATTTTTAATTTTGGGAGGCAGGGAAAAGTGGATCTATATGAGTTTGAGGGCAGCTTTGTCTACAGTATGGCATGCTTCCAGGCTAGTCAAGACTACAAAGTGAGTAGTACCCTGCCTAAAAAAAAAATCTAAAAATGTCCTACAGCTAACATTAAATAGTGAAAGACTGGCTTCTTCCTCACTAAGATCAAGAACATGACAAGGATGTTCCTCACACTGCACTCCAACACAATGACAGAAACCATGGCCATTGATTAGGGCTGAAGAGATGGCTCAGTGGTTAAGAGCATTGCCTACTCTTCCAAAGGTCCTGAGTTCAATTCCCAGCAACCACATGGTGGCTCACAACCATCTGTAATGAGATCTGGTGTCCTATTCTGGCCTGCAGGCAGACATGCAGACAGAACATTGTATACATAATAAATAAATGAATAAATATTAAAAAAGAAAAGGAAATTAAGGCATAAATTTGAAACGAGAAAAATGATACCGACCATAATACATCTGCAATACTTAATCACCTTCCTGCAAAATTCTAAGAAGAAAAATCACCTAGAATTCATAAGTAAATTAGAGAGAGTAGATTTTACCAGATTGGTTCCAAACATTAAGTCCGTGTCTACACACTAATGATGCAGAAACACAAAACGTGCTTGCTGAGATCCAAGTTCAGTTCCCAGCATCCACATAAGGCTGCTCACAACCTCCTGCAACTCCAGCTCCAGGGTATCCAGCTTCCTCTTTGGACTATACATCTGCATTTATAGACTGAATTGAGAGAGTTTAGCAAGCTGTTTCACCAAGAACAAAAGAGTCAATAAGACGTTATGTTTTGTAAATAATAAAACAAAGTTGTACAGTTATTAAAGGGAACCAGCAATTTTACACCACATTTTAAATGCCGTGGCGTCCAATCCAAAGACTCTGCTTTAGAAATTTGTCCTGTGGATAAACACGTATCGGTGTACAAATTCCATCCAGGGTCCTTCACCTTGCTTATGAATGGTCAGCCGAGAAGCAGTACCCATGGGGAGCTGGCTAACAAACTCTGTAACACAGAGTGTGTGGTACACACACACGTAATCTCAGAGAACTGTTAATAACATGCTTGCCAACCACGGAGCATGACCTGAGTTCAATTCCCGACATCCACATTAAAAAGGGAAAAAAATCAATAGATGTGAGACCAGCAGGAGGCCTTAAAGGGTAAAGGTGCTTGCTGTAAAACCTGATGACCTGAGTTTGATCCCCAGGAGCTACATGGTGAAAGAAGCGACCTGGCTACTGCAAGCTGTCCCCCAATCTCCACATGCACACCATAGCACATATGCACATGTGCACAAACACACACAGAGATAAACAACAGCAATATGTAGTGAGGAGGAGCGGGGCTGCATCCCACCACCAACCCACAAACAGCAAAAAGCTGTCTTAAATTCTCTCTCTCTCCTTTTTAAGCCCTCTCAGGTTTTACATGGAGTTCATTATCACGTTGGGCGCCACTCTGTAGTGTGGAGCTGTGGGCCGCTTCCAACCGCCGGGCTCCTGCACAGCTAGCTTTACCCAAAATAATTACACAGAAACTGTATTCTTTTAAACACTGCTTGGCCCATTAGTTCCAGCCTCTTATTGGCTAATTCTCACATCTTGCTTTAACCCATATTTAATAATCTGTGTAACACCACGAGCTGTTGCTTACCAGGAAAGATCTTAACCTGCATCCATCTTGGAGAGGAGAGCTATGGCGACTGCCTGAATCTGCTTCTTTCTCCCAGCATTCTGTTCTGTCTACTCTGCCTACCTAATTTTCTGTCCTATCAAAGGCCAAGCAGTTTCTTTATTAATTAACCAATGAAAGCAACAGATAGATACAAGACCCACCTCCACCAGCGATAGGTAAGGTGTCAATGGCCTATAAATCCTAGCCCCTGGGAGGCAAGCCAACAGGTGGGTCCCTCAAGCTTACTGGCCAAGCTCCTCTAGTCAATCAGTGAACTCAAGGCTCAATGAGCACCCCATCTCATTGAGGTGGAGGACAGTCAAGGAAGACACCTGAACTCTGGCCTCTACAAACACAAAGGAGAAAGGAACAGAGAGACACACACAGGTGGAGAAGCAGCCAGTTCACCATGGGAGGTGCCCACACCAATCCTGGGCCCGAGTTCGTGGCTAAACTTCCCGCTTCTGCCAGGGCAGAGGGTGCTAGGAAGGTCAGTAGTGTTATTCCCCAGAAGGCCCCTGAGCGTAGCTCGTCTGGGGAACTACATTTCCCAGGAGCCCCTAGCGTTCCATGCAAAGGCTGCGCAGGTGCAGAACGTGGCGTCTGACGCACGTGTATGGGCAGCCCATTCTAACCCCCGGCCTCCCACCTAAAACCTCCCCCCTTCCTGATCACCTGCTCACGCCACTACTAACCCATCTACGCTGGCTACTGTGGGATTTTACCGACCACTCATTACTTCAACCATGTGCTAATCCATGTCCACCGCCAATTAAAATAGGAGATCAGATATTATACCCCCCCAGGTCAACGTCCCTCACCCTTTTCCCTTAAATGGCAGGGTCCCCTCAGAGTAATTCTTTTGACTCCCACAGCTGCTAAGCTCAAGGGAATTCCTCACTGGATTCACCTATCACATCTTAAACCGTTTACTCCTCCAGCTCAAGACAATCCCTCATACACGGTAACTCAGACAGGACCTTGTTCTCTTAAGTTCCAGAGGACTCCAGTCCAAGGAAAGTAGAGGTCCTGTCCTTCATTCAACCCTCTTGTGCCAACATATTTTCCTTTTTCCTCTTTTTCTAAATTTCTGAATAACCACTCAGCTGTCATTACAGGATTCATCATCAGACATGGAGCCAAAGGTTCAGGTGGTAAGCAAATTCTTAACAAAGTTCCTTGACACAACAGGTTCGCCACTGACTGCAGCAGTGTCTCCTGAATGTTAAGGTAATGGTTAAGAATTTATTTCTTTTAAGACATTTCCTTTAGGCTCCAAGAAGCCAGCCCAACCCACCTGAACAAAGCAGGCCCAAAGGGATCATTAACGGAATAACACCTTAATGATGACCCAGCTACCCAAAAGCCAGACAGATGTGATCTCTCCAATCAGCCACCTCAGAACACCAGCGGACAGGACATAACCAACAGGACATCATCAAGATCATCGGACAATCAGCCATCTCAGAACGCCAGCGGACAAGACGTGACCAACAGGACACCGTCAAAATAACCAGACACTCCCTGGACCCCTCGACGCCCAAAGTCAGCAGGAAGCAGTCATGAGAGACTGGGCTACGCCCCTATTCCCTACCCATTAAGACTCTCAACCCCCCAGATTTTTAATAAATTAAAAAGGGTGGAAATGTTATTCCCCAGAAGGCCCCTGAGCGTAGCTCGCCTGGGGAACTACATTTCCCAGGAGCCCCTAGCGTTCCACGCAAAGGCTAGGCTGCGCAGGCACAGAATGTGGTGTCTGACACATGTGCATGGGGGAACCCTTTAAAAGGCTGGAAAGCTGTCTGTTCGCTCTCTTTTCCCCTTCTCTCCTGCACGGTGCAATAAAGCTTGCGCTCCACATGGGTTTTGTTGTGTGTTGTATCCTTTCGAGTCCGAAGAAGAGCAAGCAGAAGAAGCAGCAGAACAGAAGTAGTTGCCTTTTTCTGTTGCTTCCAGATGAACCTGAGGGAAACCTGGGCAAGCCTCAGACCTGCCTGCTTCTCACCATCAACTCTTGTTTGCTGAGGTTAAGCCACTAGGGATGAAGTTGTAGACTCGTTGTCAAGGTGATACGGTAGCTCGCGTGTGTTCAAACACCAGCCGCCTCATGGCCTTACCACCCCTTCCCCACCATCAGCTACAAGCACCCAGGAACCCCAGGCAAAAGAGGAAGATTTCAGACTGGCTCTCCATCTTCTCACACCAGAATCTAGTGAACACACCCTTGCTCTTCGAAACAGTCCTCTCAGGCACGGCTGTGCCCGAGGAGCAGGAGCAAGAAGCAGCCTCATACCTCTTCTTCCTGAAGAAACAGGAAGGTTAACCGTGAATGCAGGCCAAGGCACCAGCTTCCTCCATGGCATTGGGACTTCCTGTGTTGTGGGAGCTCCCCTGGCCTCATGTCAGAATGGTGGAAACAAACTCCTAGTTCCAGGTGCCCTGGCAGAACTGTGCTAGTGCTGAAACTGTTGCCTCTGAGCGACGCGTGTCTTTGCTCTTACCTGGGGTCAAACCAGTCTGAGAGCTGAAGTTCATCCTTCTGGAGGTTCCTGGCACAAAGAGCGGCAG